TTACTCACCCATAAATGATAATAAACATTGAAATTATAAAATTTTTTGCAGAATTGCAGACCAAATCTTAAAATTATTTTCGTGAATTGAACCAAAAACTGTGGAAAAGTTATGAAAAGCAAAAGGAGATAAATGAGAATAAGGCTCTCACACTCCCCACTGATAGAATCCAACGTATTGTTTATTAATGAACAAAGAATCGTCCCATTCTTTTGCATTCTTCGGTGCAAAACCGCCATTGTAGATCAATCGTTGATTATCTTTCAATAAACCGTATTCCTTCGGAAAGCCAGACCCAGCACCTCGATTGGGTAACTGAAATATGCTAACCATAGCAAAGAAACAAACTACTCTCAATGTTCAGCCAAACATACAGCAAAAACTTCTTATAATCAGAAGCATCGCGCAATCATAATACGATGCATATACGCGATGCATATCATCGTCAACAGAATCTATTCGATAGATGAGTCTGAATCGGATATTTCCCAATGTTCGATATTACCTGATCAGGCTTATATTCTTCTTTCAATGCCTTCGGCTTCGATGACTTCATCCATTCCGGAAGAGCGTTCATTGCAATTTCACGCATTTCCCTTTGTTCATCGACCAACATTCGTAAAAATACCTAAATCATCTTTTCAAATGACTGATCGCAGATACAGAATAATCAAATTTGTCATAGATGTTTTCTTCGATGAGTACTAATGACTGTTTCTCTTACTATTAATTCTCGATGCTCATTGATCCTCTTTTCTCAAATATTCGTTAACAAATATTCATTCTCAAGTATTGCTATAATAATAGATAAACTTTCCTAATGTGAATTTGTCAAAAACTCATTAACTAAAAGATAGCACATCACGACAGGTATGAACGGGTCAAGAACATCGTCGGCTAACTTACCCGAATAGCATCAGGTGTTGTCCGTCGCAATAGCATATGGCTGACCAAATAACCGGCTAAACGCAACTGTCTCCAGTGTAACGTTTCGGCGCATAGTGTCACTAACGTTTTCATCAACTCGTCATAAAGTCTGAATCAAATAAGAACACAGATACGACAGAGACTTAGGATGAATAATGACAAAAATGTATCTGGAGGATGGGGGATTCGAACCCCCGACTTCTCGCATGCAAAGCGAGCGCTCTACCCCTGAGCTAAACCCCCTCCAAACACTTACAATATCTACTGTTCTTTCAATATGATTGACTATGGATATTGATCATATCTCAAATGTCATATTTTAGCAGTTACTTTCGAATAAGCAGTTTCTCATATCCAATCTGACAAGTATTTGAGCTTGCAATCGAAATTTTTTAAACCAGTTCTTGAAGCTATCGCAAAAAAAAACATTTTTCATATTCTGTTGTTTGAAGGGAACAAACTTCACTAAACTCCCTAAAAAGACTTATTGATCACCGAAAGACCCGTATTTTTATCACTCTTTTATCATCGATCACGGTGATATTCCTTCGGTTTTGTCTCATTTCTAAATGACTTACTTTTCGTTGCGTTTCGATTTTTCAGCAAGCTTAGCGATAGCCTTGGCTTCTCGTTCGGCTGATATCGTCGGATATTCCGGTTTGATTGTTCCCTTTGAAACATCCCAAAAGTTTTTGCTCAACGCAACCAACTCTTTTGATATCTACAAGTCAATGAACAACTCTATTTATCATGATTATCATGTTATTGTCAAATTGGGATCATAAGATTAGTTATTGAAATTATCGAATTCGACACTGCGGTCATGAATGTAAATCTTCCATGAATGAGATTGTGGCTGACCTCAATTTTGATTGGCATCCACTTCCAACCGGATACTGCAAGCACTTCAATGGCTTTCAGCATTTCAAGGATATCCGGTTTGTCCGCGTAATTCGCCTTGACCAGTTCCGGAAGAATACGATTCAGTGTTGGCCAATCACGCTCAATAAAGAACTGACCGGTACACAGAACTTGTAGAGCACCCTGGAGAAACAGTATATCAAGAGGACTCTATGCTGTTCACTTGATTTTTAACATTTGTAAAAACTTTCAGACGTCCAGCAGAGTCTGATAAAACTCGTATGACTCAAAAAACGAAAAAAGATACGATAGAGAATTAGCATGAATAATGACAAAAATGCATCTGGAGGATGGGGGATTCGAACCCCCGACTTCTCGCATGCAAAGCGAGCGCTCTACCCCTGAGCTAAACCCCCTCCGATCACTTACTATATCTACTGTTATTTCAATATGATTGCCTACGGATATTGATCATATCTCAAATGTCATATTTTAGCAGTTACTTTCGAATAAGCAGTTTCTCATATCCAATCTGACAAGTATTTGAGGTTGCAATCGAAATTTTTCGTCTTCATTTCGTCTTTTTTCATCTTCATTGTTTTATGTATGTGATATATTTTCACCTCACTGAATCTATTGTGCGATATGATACCTTAAAATCTTTTTCAGAGACATTCTTTGCTGTGGGATCCATGAATTTGAGAACGTCTTCCAACAGTAGTATATATGAAAATTGGAACGTTTGGAAGAAACTCGCCAGCACTATACCTGCGGCACGACGCACCTGAAACAGTACTCCAATTTGGGTAGTTTGTTACAACTAAACAACGCATTAAGTTCAAATTCAGTTTGATTGTAGTTAAGATAAAATTCCAATTGAATTTGTAAGAACACAGGCTCTAAATTTGCAAACAGTTGCTATAAAAGCTTACAATTTCATACGGACTCGTTGCGAGTCTAACCAGATCTTTCATCACGATAAGATGAGATTTATTGAATGATACTCGTTGTGTTTGATCGACCACTAAACGCTGCTGAAATTCAACAATTCGTTGAAATGTCTGCCGAATGATTGCTACAAAAATAAGAGGTGTTCTTTCATCCGAGAGATCCGAATCAAGATGCGTTTTATTCGGATCAACTAGAAAAGCATTCAATTATTTCTGACACTTCTACTGCTTCGTTTCACTGAGATTCACTTGTGCTTTCAAATACAAAAGTTAGATTCAAAAAGACTTCTCAGTTTCGCAAATCATTTCGTGAATGATAATGCTCCATCCAGTTTAACTTGAAACTCACAACTTTGATTATGAAATTTTCAACATGATTGCAATCAAAGACAGCGCAAATCGCTAACTCGATGAAGTAGACTGAGGCAATTGCGCACCACATCGTCGATATTGGCTTTTTTACCTCGGAGAGGATCCGAGTAGACTTCGCGCATCGCAACGAACTGCGCCAAACATTGTTCATATAAAGCCTAAAGGCATTCGAAGAAAGATGAGCAAATGCAACTACTACCCAAATGATCTACGCTGGAATCAGTTGAGAAATACATCTTAACGAAATTATTCAAACTCAAGAATGTGCACAAAATGAAATGATTCGAATGCTAAAAGCTCACAGGAGTTGAAGCGTTACAGAAAACGATCAACGAGAAAAGTGAGCAAATCGCCATGTAAACACGAGTGTCATCGAATTGCATCACCAATAGGAAATCAACAAGTTCATGTAAGCCTTCAACCATTAGTTGACGAATATTGCGGCCATCGAACGTGATCGCTTAAATCCAACAAATTCAACATCGTTCGGCATACACTCGAAACTTTTGTACGATACTAACAGTAACATTGTCTTGAACACGTCATATAACGATGTCAATTTTGAATCAATGCAAAATTTGTTGTTGCATCCGTTCAATCGGATACCTCCTCGATGAGTGAAGTCATCGGCTCGTAGTGCATCGTTCTGGTGAGCAATCATCATGCAAATAATACACCAACTGTTCTGTCGTGAATTAGCGAATTTATCAAT